AAAAAAAATGTTCATTTTGGGGGCTGGAGAGATGGCTCAGCGGTTAAGATCACTGCTCTTGCAGAGGACCTGCGTTCGATTCCCAGCATCCCACATGACCCTACGAACCGTCCTTAACTCCAGTTCCAGGGGAATCAGGAGCCCTCTTCTGATCTCCGCGGCATTGCACGACACGGATGCACTCACATACACGCAGGCAATACACTCATGCACATAAAAATAAAATATTTTTAAAATGTTCATATTTAGTACAGATGCCATTTAAAAATGTTTTTGATCCACAGTTGCTTGAATATGCAAATGTGCAGCCATGACTATGGAGGGATTTATTGTACATAGAAACAGCCACAGGGTTCAAGGTGGATTTTTTTTGGGGGGGGGCGGGTCTTTATGAGACAGGGTCTCCCTGTAGCCCCATCTGGCCTGGAACTCCAGGCTGGCTTCGAACTCACAGAGATCCACCTGTCTCTGCTTCCCAAGGCATGCACCACTACCCCCGACTCAAGGTGGGTGGATTTTAAGTGTTATGTGCCCCCAGAAGAACTTGTACCATTCACCATCCCCAGCTATTGAGCAGGACTGCACTCTCTATAGACCCTGTGAACATGCTGTATAGCAAAGTGCTTTGGTTCCTCATCACCCCGCTGACTTTGATTGCAAGTTGCAGAAAGGTCCATGCAAACGTCCTATATATTAAAAGGAGTTTTTATTGGCTCCTTTTACAGTATGAGCCAGATCCCTAGAAAACCAATCCCTAAAAACAGCTGTCTTTAATTTTTGGTCAGTGCTTCTAGGTTTTTCCATGTTTCCCATTTTGTCGAGCCCTTTGTTGATTTACAGAAGCTGTGTAAATGGTAAAGCAGTTACTTTTGCCTTGATAACACATACTTTTCTAAGTGTACTGGCATTCTTCAGGATACAAAAACAACGTTTCCCTCAAGATTCCATCTACCACTACTCTGAAAAGTTGAGTGGTCGTAGGATTGTTTCTACTGGCTGTTTAAAAAGGTCTGCTTTGAAGATGAGGTGCGAGTACTAGCTCAGGTTCTGGTGGAGACCCTGCCCTGGCACAGCCCTGAGTAACGTGCCTCCTTAAATTATGCACTCCAAAGTCCTTCAGTCTCACCTAGGCCCACTCTGTCTTGAGCTGGGTAGTATACACCTTTAATCCCAGCCCTTGGGAGGCAAAGGCATGGATCTCTGTGAGTTCAAGGCCAGCCTGGTCTACACAGTGAGTTCCAGGTCAGCTGGTTCTACAGTGAGAAACGCCCTTTTCTGACCTCTGTGGGCACTGCATGACACAGTTGTATCTGTCTACATGCAGGCAATATACTCATACAAATAAAATTAACACTATTTTTTGTAAAAAAAAAAAAAAAAAAAAAAAAAGGAGAAATTCTTAAATTCTTCAAGATGGTAGGGTAGGCAGGGCTAGTGCTCAAGATGGACCAAAGTGGCCTATAAATCTCTGATCTTCTCCAAAGACTCCAGACCTCTGTGCACCAAAGACAGCTCCAAGCAGACCCTTAGTGGCCTATAAATCTCTGATCTTCTCCAAAGACTCCAGACCTCTGTATACCAAAGACAGCTCCAAGCACACCCTTCCTCCTGGGAGAATAATTTCATCCTCAAGTGGTTGCTGGGGAACACGTATCCGTCTGCTGCCATTACATTTCAGCTGCAGGGTCATATACCTACAGGAAACACTCTATTTGGTTTGTGGGGTGCTTTGGGAGGCTGATTGCTTGCCTCCACGTCTCACCCGGTTGGTCCTTCCCACTTGCCAAGTGTTTCAGCTTCTACATGGAGTGTCTATTTCTACATCTGGTGACCCTGAACTTGGTCTCATGACTTGATCAAAGGGATAGAATGGTTATTATTAAAGGCTTATAAGAGTTAAAATCAATAATTTAAGCTTTTAATGGGGAAACTTTTAAAATATTTTATTAGTTTTTAAATTTTATGTGTATGAGTGTATTGCCTGCATATATATAAGTGCACCCATGTTGCACAGTGTCTATGGAGGTCAGAAGGCGTTGGATCCCCTGGAACTGGAGTTAAGGGCAATTGTTAGCCTCTATTAGTGTGATGGGAACTGGACCCAGGTCCTCTACAAGAGCAGCCAGTGCTAACTGCTGAACCATCTCTCCAGCCCCATGTAAGAGCTTTTTAAAAAGATAAACAGAAAAGCAGGAGGAAGGAATTACAAAGAGCAGAAGTCAACAAAACTTAAAACAGAAAAACAGTGGTTAAAAAAAGTCAGTAACATAAGCTAGCTCTTTGAAGTCAACATAATTGGTAACTCCCTAAGAAAAATATTGCCCTCAAAAGTAGGGGAGGACATTCTAATATTATGACTGCATGGTTGTGTCAAGGTTAGAGAGGGTCACTGCATAATGATTGGCACCTGCATACTGTAACTTAGTGGATCTGGAAGGCTGGCCTTGAGAAGGCTGTGTGGTGAGGGTAGAGTCTTCAGGATGCAAATCCACCTGTGTTCTGGGTTTTCTACCCCAGACTGGGCAATATTGTGAGACCCAGTCTCAGAAGTTACTACCTGCTATTCTTATTGCCCCTATTAGCTGTGCTGTGGTCATTCAACCATGTGACCCCACAGGTCAAGGTCTTGTGGGGTTTGCTCATGTGTAAGTCCTAGACAGTGAGTTGATATGGGACCCTGCCTGACAGGTATTAGCAATTTGGTACCATCTGGGTATGAACAGGTGATGCCTGGCCACTGAGCCTCCTCAATCCTCATGCCCCATACCATCCTGGTTGCCCCAAGTGTCTGGACCTATGCTACTGGTTGTCTTCTGACCAGGGACCACCAAGAGGACTAGCAGTGGTAGGAAGATACTACTCCCATGGATCAGGATCAAGCCTACCCACTGCTGACCCCAAAGTCCAACTTACAGTGCCAACCCTAGAGTTTCCCCACAGTTCCTCTCACACAGAGATACCACCTGACCAGGGTAGGATGGTTGGGGAGGCAAGAGACAGAGGTCCCTAGTCTTAGAAGCCTAAAGATAAAGAGTCCAGTGTTCTGTTCTTAACTTCTCTCCATCACTGCTGAGATCAAGGACAACTGGGCCAAGAATTAAATAATTTTGTCCTCCTTGTTAAGGTAAAGAATGTTTTAAGCACTTTCTCAATAAGGCAATATACCAAAAATTTAAAGTATCTTGTCTTTGTTAAAGCAAAATACAGGTTACAGCAGAATCTACATTTGTGAATTTGGCTAAGGCACCTCAACAGGGACCTCTATAATAGACTACACAAATGATTTGTGATTTGGTTTAAAAAGTATGATGACTAAAGTACTTTTTTTTTTCTCTATTGCTCTGAAACAAATATGGTTATCATAGAGAAAAGAGGGGGCAGCCTCCTGTCTGTCACCGAGTACTTTTTTCAGGTCCCAGGGTACATTGGTCAGCTTGGGGTCAAACAGCTGCCAATCAGGTGGTAACAGTAGGGCACATTTCCCTTTAGTTCACGTGTGAACTGCATGCTGGTGGAATAGGGGTGGACAGGGAGAGCAGAGTGGGTTGTACAGGGTAAGGAGGGAGTCTCTGACAAGAGCTGGGTTCTAGGGGAGAGCAGAAGTGAGGGGGAAGAGTTGGAGGACTCTTAGCAGAAGAAAAATAGGGGTAGGGTATAGAATGGAGTTGAGCAGAGCATTTTTGAGAAACTTTTAATTCAGATTCAGATATTTGTGGACTGCCAGGAATCAGGAAGCTTGAATATGGTCTGTTCCAAGCTTGAAGGTCAACAGCATTCTGTTCTTCCTGTTTGGGGCACTGTTTGAAGGAACTTATCACTTCTTTTAGACTCCAGGAAGTTTACGGCAAGTTCATCCTCGGATGTGGGTCTTTGAGATTTAAAGCCTAGAAGCACCTCTCCAAATCACTGATTCCCACCCCCCTCCACTCTCCTGTGTCTTCCTAAGAGATAGGGTTTAGTGTTTCTGGGTCTCTTGTTGGTATTTCCCAAGTCTTAATAGCATCTCAGCTGAACTGCCTGTCTTAGCTTGTTACGAGGAAGTCTGTAGGACTGGTCTGACCACTTGAGACATGGCTTTGGTGTTGCAGTTCATGAGTATGTCTTATAAACTAAGCTGGCCAAGATATAAGGCAATATACTCATGGGTGAACTGGGGCTACTTTGGCAGTTTTCGTCACTAGAGACCAGGCCCTTTTAGTGCAGCTGGATTGCCTGTTGTGTTGCTCAAGATAAAGCCATCGAGTGGTCTAGCCCCAGTAACTGCTTTCTGGTAGCAGGGCAGAGGAAGTGAGGAAGGCTTTGTTGAAGCAAAATTTCCCAGTGTGGTCCTTCAGCTTCTGCTTCATTGACCAGAATTTCATCGCATGTCAAGCTGAGCTATAAGACTGGACAGTCCAATCTTGTAGGCAGGTCGTTTCTCCTTCAAACACTGGCCCTTTAAGAGTTTCTAATGTCTCTCCCAACTTGGTGTTTCTTCTAAGAGCAGTAGGCAGTCACTAACTCTTTTCTGTTTTTATGAGACAAGGTCTCCCTGTAGCCCCAGCTGGCCTGGAACTCATTATATAGACCAGGCTGGCCTTGATCTAACCTGCCTTTGTCTCCACGAATTAAAGGCATGTGCCACCACACCTGTCCGGGTAACTCTTAACATTTAGTTCGTTAGCACCATTAACTCCCAGCTCAGGTGCTGAGGGTGAAACTGTCAGGTGATTTTCCTAAATCACACATTAAGACAAGGGTATGTTTGAAAACAAAATGCCAACGCCCAGCTCTTATTAGTGGTTTTGGTAGTGCTGGTCGGGGTAGGGACTAAGACAGGTAATTTCGAATGTTCCAAGGAATTTTGGAGTGTATGGGGCTGCACTCAGCTCCAGATCACCTACATTCACACTGGAGTAGGAGCTCAGTCTGGAACCTCAAACTTCTGAGGCACTTCTGGTCTTTTCTGCCTTTAACTCTCCTCCTCCTCTTCAAAACTCAGACACATTAGGCAAAGGAAGAGAAGTAACATTTATATTATTTATTTCTCAGAATTTCCAGAATTAGGGTCTCTACTGGGTAAGTAGAAAAATAGAAAAGTTTACTACTTTTAAAAGGCAACTATGACAAATCAGTATATAACCAGCAAAGGGCTCCTAGGACTCAAACACACACAAAAGTTCAGCTTCAGCACAGCACAGTCTGCCATGTCGCTGTGATGACAGAAATGAACCTGTGCTCCCCACAACCTGAGATTTGATACTGGCATGTCTCTGCAGAGCTGCGGCTGAAGCCAGGAGGCCTTTCTCACCCCTACTAGCTGGCCCAGTCCTGGAACCGGAAGCAGTCACTTGCTATCTTCCATACGGTGTTACTGGGTGAGGCCTGGGCGGTCAGGATGAAGTTCTGGTTGAAGTCCCGTTGTTTGTTGCCTTCAAACTTCACTGTTCCACAGATCACCACAAGGACTGTGGTCTGGCTTGGCGTGGCTTCATCATGAACAGGCTGACAGTCTACCACATTGATCTGGAATTCACTGGAAGGCAACATCTCAAAAAACTCACTCAAGGACTCTTGTCCGGAAACAGCATTTCCATTCCACACGAGGGTGGCTGTGCCCATGTACAGGCGGGACAGCAGCCGCCGCCGCTTATCCATGGTGGTATAGTAGACATTGACAAACTCCTCCGCAGCTCTGCAAGCCTGATCCACGTAGGTCTTGAAGTCCACTGATGCCATCTCTGGTTCTATGAACAGAGGCCTCTGGCAGTGTCTCCTTTGACTGCAGGGAAGCAAGGGCTGTCGGGAAGCAAAGGGAGAAGGACACACGTGAACAGCAAAGTCCATTCTGCCTGGACAATCCTCTTTTGCTTTACAGTTTTTACTTTATTATATTTGCTTATTTGTATTTGTGTGTGCCTTGGCACATGTGTGGCTTCCGAGGAACAGGAGTCAGTTCCCGCCTTCCACCATGAGGGTACTGGGCATCAAACTCAGGTTATCAGGCTTGGCAACAAACACCTTCACCTACTGAACCACGCTGCTAGCCCTAATCCTCCCTTTTCTGTAAGTGGCAAACGGTTATACATGGCAGACAGATAACTTAGCTCAAACTGTTGCCAACTTAGTCCAAGCTTCAGGTTGCTCATGGCAAAAAATATGCACACCGTGTGATTGCAGCACAGTAATGATGAGAATTAAGTGACAGTGCACACTGGGTGCCGGAGTCAAGAAGCTGAAGCCAGGAGTGATGAGACACATGTATAACCCTAGCACTGGAGAAGCTGCGGCGGGGGTTCAACAAACACTCTGAAGTGGCATTTGCTAAGTGATTCAGTCACTACAAATGGACTAGAAGTTCCAGTCCCCCCAATTCCAGTTCCAGGGGTATCTGACACCCTTTTCTGACCTCTGCTGGGCATTACATACATGCAAACCACTCGTACACATAAACAACAGCAAAAACAAATGAGGAAGGGAAACCTGCACACTCCTGGTTGATCAGTTCTAGGACAGTGAGGAGTCACGGCTATACTATACATTTATTTACTTTGTAAGTTCAGACCTTTTGAAATCAGATCTATATGAACACAGCTCCAGGGCTGCCGGCTTGGGAAACGTCCTCCCAGGGAACAACATTTCTCTCTGAATGGAATTCTTAACCAGCGACCACCTTCCCTTATCAATACAACTTGTCTCCTCCTCTGGTCCACGCTGCTCCAGGCTGGCATTTTCCCCTTTGCTTCTCCAAACACAGTTTAACAGTCTGCCACGCCCCCTCGCACCCCCAAATCGCCAGTCCTGGTTTTCAGCCCCCCATAGAACCTGCCCATCTCTATCACATCAGAAATAGAAAGGAGCCAGGTTGAAACAGTGGAGGAGAGGCCAGGAGGACCTCTGTGGTCCACACTGTCAGCCTGGAGCTGGCCCCGAGAAGCGCCCGCCGTGCCCAGGCCTTGGGAAGTCGCTTCCCATCCGGCCCTTGCAGATGGCAGCACTCGCTCTCTCCACCGCCATCCTCCGGACTCCTCCCGACAGGGTAAATTCGCTGCCACGCGCTCTGCTCGGGGGAAAAAGCCTGGTATCGCACTGCAAAGACACCACGTGGAAAAAAGGCCAACCCCGTGTGTCCCCGGGAGTGAGGGGCGGGCTGGCGGGTTCGGGTCCCTCGGGGTCGCCCAGGGAGCCCCCAGCCGGGCAGGGCGGCCACCTACCTGCGCCGCGCCGCCCGGGCCAGCGCGGCCGCGGGGACTCGGATCCCCGGTCCCGTCCCGGCCGCCGCTCCACGGCGGGGCAGGCCCCCGAAGGTAGCGGGTGGACCCGCGCAACTCCGCGGCCGCCCGCCCCTCGCTCTGGCGGGGGCGCGGGAAGAGCCACTCCTCCGCCCTCCTCTTCCTCTCCCAGGCTCCGCCCGAGGCGCGGGGTCCCAGAGGCCGGGAACGGGTAGATACCGGCCTCGGCTTCCCGCGCGCGGTGTTGCTGCGCTCTGCGCAGACGCGAGCACCCGGGTCCCGCCCACTCCCTCCTCCCCGTGACGAACAGCTACGCGCGCCAATGGGAAAGCTGGCTCTGCCCAGGTGTGGCCTGAAAGGCGATGCGGCTTCCGGGGCAGCAGCCTTCCTAGAAGAGCCGGAAAACCCGTATCGAGTTTTCATTGGTCTATCCGGTTAAGGACTCTCTGATTGGATTACAAGAGCTGGGTGTGCTCGCCCAGTTGCTGGAGGGCTTAGCTGCCGAGGCGCTGGAAGATGTGGATTGCTGCGGAGTTCCTGACTTGTCCTCTCCTCCTGTATTGAATGGATGACTCCGGGGAACGGCTTGATGCTGTTCGGGAAACAGCAGCATGGCTCCTCTAAGGCTCTCAAGTGAATCCAGCGTAGGTGGTGCCTACAGGTGACCTCGCGCAGAAGGGAAAGTCGGAGAGCAGTGGAAGTCCACAGGGTCGAGTTCCTTAACCGATCACATAACCTTTTTCTGGTTATGGACACTTTGTGTTGACATCCCTGATGATGGGCTGTTCTAAAGAAACAGAACTGATAAAATGAATTCACACCCACACACATACCCGTGGATTTATTGCGGGTCTGGGAGATAGCCCTATGGAGGTGGCTAGGTTAAAGTACTTCGACCTGTATTGTCTGGGCATCCTCTTAGCGACTTTTGCTTGCGTTCCTAAAGGAACCTTTGTTTTTGGATTTCAAAAAAATCAGATGGAGGTGGTGCTGAGGAGATGGCGCAGCAGTTAAGAGCACTCACTGTTCTCGCAGAGAACCCAGGTTCAGTTCCCAACACCAACATGGCAGCCAAAAACAGTCCGTAAGATTCCACATTGTCTTCTGGCCTGCAAAACATTCGTAAGCATAAAATTAAATAAATAATTTAAAAAAACCTTAAATCAGGTGGGCTATTTATTGTAGGCTATCCCCGCTGCAATTAACTAGGTGAAAAGTTTGCATTATTGAAAAAGTAAACTGGTGAATGAGCATCTTTGGAGCAATAGTTACACCAACATGGATTTACAAGCCCAGGGGTAGGCAGTGATTCGAGGACTTCCTAAATCCAAAGTGGAATGTGAGGATGAGGGTTCATTCGCTGCATGCTTTAAGCTTACTGCTTTAACTTTTTTTCTGTGTCCCATGTTCTTTATAACTCTGTGGGACACTGTTACTGATTTTATAGAGAAGGAGACTAAGAAAAATTAAATAACCAGCTTGGAGCTGCAGAGCCAGTTCACAAGTAGAAAAACTGGTTAGACTGTTTTTAATCCCAGCACTTGGGAGGCAGAGGTAGGCAGATCTCTGTGAGTTCAAGGCCAGCCTGGTCTACATAGTGAATTCCAGGACAGCTGGGGCTACAGGGAGACCCGGTCTCAAAAAAACCCCCCCCCCCCCCCAAATCATGCCTGACCCACTGGACATTCTGTGTGAATGAAACTTTTGGCCAGAGTCCTAGTCATTGCATGAGCCCTCCACCCAGCCCTCCCTCCCCACTTTTCTTTGTTTTTTATACTTAGCAGTCTCATTGGGCCAAGGAGTAGATATCCAGGACTGAGCAGCAAGTTCAGCCACAGCCTCTGAGCCTCTCTTTTCTGACTCCAATAGAGGGAACATGTTTTTTCATGCAGGCACTTGCGCATGGAACCTTTCATACTGAGAATCATGGAACAGCTGGTGTCCATAAATTCCATGCACAGCTAACTATGCGTGTACTGTCTCTATGACCTGGTCCTTCCCAGCACTTCGGTGACCCTGGCCAGTGTGGTGGACTGCATTCAACTCATGTCCGTGATGGTGGCAATCCAGTGGAGAGCAGCTCTGGCTTTTATTCCCTCTACAACCTTTGCTTTTAGGGCGATTAGAGACATCCTGGACTCCAGGGACATACCACTAACCCAGTTGAGAGTGTTCAAGACCTCATTACAGGCCTAGAGAAGGTGTTTGCTAGGACATTCTGGGAAAGGAACCTTTTCCTTCTTCCCCTTTTGGGTATGGGAGTGCATAGTATACTACAGACATTTTGCTATTCTGAGGAGGAGCCAACCCCTCAGTGGTAACTTAGACAGGAAGGGAAGGGGGAACCAGGCCTCTGATGACTGTTAGGGCTGTCATCTTCAGTCTTCAGTCTCTCTCTCTCTCTCTCTCTCTCTCTCTCTCTCTCTCTCTCTCTCTGATTGCTATGCTGGAGGTTGAACCCAGGGTCTCAGACATGATAGGCAAATGCTCTACCACACCCCAGCCCCAGTCTTTAGTTTGAGGCTTTGCACTTTCTAGAGTCAGTTTTAAAGCTGGGCATAAGTGTAGTTCCTTGTAATAGTTGCTTCTTTAGTGTGTCTTTGAGTAGCAGTGGTGTGATTGTGGCAAGTGAGTTTGCCTTTCTGGGGATCAGCTGCATTCTTTGTAAAGCAGAGACACTAATGATATCCTTGGGACAGGCACGACATGGGGCTGAATCCATATTAACCCCAGAAAACTCTAATAACACAGAATTATGTTTTGTATTTTACATCTACAGCAACTTCATTTGCCAATAGTCTCTCTGACGACTGGCTTTTAAATTTGGGACAAGCATATTAACAAATTGATGGGATTTGTCACCAGATCACATTGGCACTTTTGGAAAATGAGCCTGGCTTACATAGCTGTGGAGCCAATGGCCCCATTTGCCAGCATGGATGCTGTCCAAGGAGGAAGGGCACATCTGGTCCACATGCAGAGTTGGGCCTGACTTAATGGATCTTAAAATCTGTAAACACGGGCTTCATCTTTTGTCAGTGCTGTTCCCTGGGGCAGGATTGGAACAGCATTTGCGTGAGCAGCTGTGAATCACCATAATGGCTGAGATGTTTGGTCTTGAAAATACTGCCACTGGAACCACATCTTTATCTTTCTATCTTGACCTTAGGCCCATCTGAGTGGTGGTGGACCTGGGTGAGTGGAGCTGTATTTCTGGGAGCTCATTTGGGTATTGAACTTTGGGGAGACTCTGGGTGGCCATGAAAGAAGCACACTTGATTGGGCCAGGCAGTGTTTTCTGAAATCCGAGCTCTGTCTTCTCTGTCATCCAGGGACAGAGTGTGGACCCTGGGAGTGTAGCCCCTGTAGACATTCCATGGCAATGCACTGAGGACGCACTGTGTGGAGTGTTTTGCCCAGTCTGTGAAGGTATCCTTTGTCTGAGAAGGTTGTAAGGATTGCTGCTGACCAGGCCTCATGTGGACCTCTTCCCAGCTCAGCCACCAGCCATCTGGAATGGTGGGAGGGGTCACACATGGTTACAGAGCCTCTCTGCGGAGTCAGCATGTGATATGGGTATTTATCTATATTTGCAAAGTATCAGAATTCAGTTTTGGCTAATTTAAGCTGAGAGGTCTTTATAGGATTACTGCTAGCAGAGTCAACAGCAGTCATTGGTAAGGCAGTTTCTGGGGTCTGGGAACAAGAGCTTGACAGCAGTTGCTTCAAGGACTGCTTATGGGATGATGGATCTGTGAGCAGTTTCCAGCCCCTAGGATTTGCCACTCAAATTAGAATCCTGGGAAATGGTGTTGTATTGCTCTAACCACATGTGTCATCCACCTGCTGGGTGGTCCCACAGAAACCATCTGATGGAGGAAGTGTCTCATTGAAGTGGGTAGAGGGGTCTGACCCCAAAGGAGAAGGAAAGGGATTCAGGGACAGCAGGAAGAACTGAGGCCCATAATAAGCTCAGGAGCTCAGATATAGCTGTGAGCACAGATGGGAGATTAGAGCAGAACTAAAGGTCACATGACCAGAGAGAAGGGAAGGCTGGAGAAAGATGCGAGTGCATGATCACACATGCACATCCACATGCTCAGATGCACACACAGCACTGACATTCATGTGCACATAGGCACACCACATACACATATCTGTTCACATATACATGCACAGCTGTATCACATACACATACACGTATATGCACACAGAGTACAGTCTTAGTGGTTTCTTATCCCTTAGTGTGGCAGATTATATTGTTCAAAACTGGTCACAAAAATGTTTTCAGTCTCACCTGCCCTTCCAGGACCTGGCACTGCTCCCCATCAGAATGTGTTGGGTCCTTTCCCTTATTGCAGGCAGGGCTTTATGACCTTGTGACTTCAGACGAAATGGGGCCACATAACTGCTGCAGTTGAGCCATAAAAGAAGACAGCTTGTACCTCACTGTCTTTGGATGCTTGTGTTTGGGACCCTGCCACTAGCTGATCTACCCCAACAGCCAGTGTGCCCAGTGACTGGTTGGAAATGGACGCTCTTGTCCTTGTTTGGGCAGCCTCAGCTGGCGTGGAGTAGAGCAGAAAGGAGCCTTTCCAGCTGAGCCCATCCCAAATAGCAGATATGCTGGTAAAATAGATGATTGTTGACATGCTAATTGAGTTTCCTAGTGATCTGCTATGCTCAGGAGAGTCAGAATTCTTTTGGAATTTTTATTTACTTATTTATTTTAATTTTATGTGTATGAGTGTTTTGCCTGCATATATGTAAATACACCCATGTCATGCTATGCCTGCAGAGATCAGAGAGAACATCAGATCCCCTGGAACTGGAGTTACATGGATGACCGTTAGCCAGCTTATGGGTGCTAAGAACTGAAGTTGGGTCCTCTGCAAGAGCGGTCAGTGCTCTTAACCACTGAGCCAGCTCTCCAGTCTTGACAGTCAGATTTTTTACTCATTATTGTCCTCCTTGGTCCTGCCTCAAGGCTCTGGGAGAGAGCCTGGTGCCCAAATGCTTCCTTTGTAATTGATGTCTGGAATCCTTTCTCTTTTGTGTCTCTGAATTCTCTTTCCTTCCTCTAAATAGTCCCCTTCTGCTCTCATGCTATACATATGTGCACACACACACATATGCACACGTATGTATATCTATATATTTAAGTCAAGAGCTGTATGTGAGAGAAGATAGATATTTTGTCTTTCTCCCCCCACATTACCCGCTTTATTTCTACAGTCCACCTGACTAATCTCTTTCCTCACTTCACATT